GACGGCTGGATTGACAATGTTCAGTTGTGCATGTATTCGTCATAAGGATCCAATGAAAGGTACCGGTAACGGAGTGTAGCCAGTAACGGAGTGTAGCCAGTAAAGCGGAACCTGAGTGTGTTCGGTACTGTTGCCACTGTCACGGATCGATGTAACTCTCTGCCTACGGTACCGTAGCTGGCTGCAATGGCTGAATTGCATATGGATCCAAGTAGCCAGCAAACTGAGGAAACAGGAGACGAAAGCTGAAAAAAGCCGAATGATTAAGAAAGCTCAACTTGAGAGTCTTGTGGATCTGATCCTTGCTCTTTAGGTTAGGATTTTTCCAATGAAAAGCTCCTTTTTGTCTTTTTCATGGAATCTTAGGTCATTACCGCGAGGTGCAGAGAATTGTAATCTTCATTCTGAAAGAGTATCTGAAATGTCCGCAATCTGGCTTTTTAGCAGGTTCAAGACACAATTCATTGTTTTCATGTTTTCATAAAATAAACCTCATTTTTACACCAAGAAGATTTTGCTTCGAAGGATCTCGCAAAGCGTGACTGAACTAAAGTAAACTTTACTGAGTAGTCTAGCTAGCTAGTCCACAACCAAGCTGTCAAATCGCTAAAACACAGGCCGGCTACCTAGCTAGACCCAGCTTGGATTCTAAGATTCCGCTAAAAAGTAAACAATCGCGATCATGATACATGTATGCATATGCATAGTTACCAAGCCGAAGGAGAGGACGAGGAAGTCATGCAAGCAATCTTCCATCTTCGTTCCCAAAATACAATGCAGTTCTTATGATCTGACACACAGCGAAGTCCAGATGATTACCAGGTAGTTTAAAACAAACAAACAAAAATAGCTAGGCGCACCAAAGAAGGATTTTGTTCGATCAGGCCATCACTGACTGATCTCTAGTAGCTGAGACTAAAAAATGCGACCTTTAGAACGGTATCATTGGCCCTTGCGCGGAGGTTGTTGCATTTGTGCTGGTCGCTGGTCATGCCTGTGGTCACTCGCCCTTGGGACCTAGAGTTGGTTACTCTACTGGCTTATTAAGCTTCGATCTTCAAGTTCTTTCGAAGCCGCATCAGCTGAGTCGTCAATTCAGTCACTGACACGTTCTCAGTGGTATTACTGAATCCCAGTATAGTCGATACTGTACTGAAACTCTTCATACATGCACTGGAAAGTTGCCAACGGAGCAACAGAGTCCTCATTCAATACGCCACCTTATATCTTTATTCTTTTCAGCTTTTGGAATCCACAATGGAAAAGCTCCTTGACTGTCAGCTTCAATACTCGTGCTTGACCACGCGCTTTAGACATGCACAGAGAATACCCAACCAAGACCATGTTCAATAGGCTGGACACTTGCAAGACAAATTGATTTATTGGGAGCTTCTTGATCTTCATGACAACTTGGTGGTAAAAAGCATCTTTCTTCCGAAAGTGTATGACATTGTGTACATGGCATACATTTAATTAAACATTGTGCAGGCACATGCAGCTGTAGATGGATCTAGTGGAACACAGGTCTTCTCGTAGTATTGTACGTGCCGCGCAACGTAGTTTTGGCACTGTGTCTCTATGATGCGGGAGCATCTATCATCTATCTACTAGTACATGTATGGCGAGAGCGTGTTGCCTACACCAAAAAAACTGAAAGGAGCCATCGGCACACAACGCTGCTACTAGCTAGACTAGCTAGTAAAGTCTTCGAAAGGAGATCTGCCCTCAAGCCAAAGAATCGCAAAGTGAAGATGATGGTGAGAAGCCAACCTGGTGATCTTACCATGCATGGACGAGCCCACCTGGTTGCAGGAGCAGTGGATGCCCCAACCGAGCATGATCCTGTGAGAGAAGAGTATGACTGCTGCGTAGAAGAAGAATATGATGATTGCTCTTCTACCATGAGAACGGAAGATGAAGATACTGCGGAAAGCGATTGCGACTGCGAAAGCCTGCTAGAAGACGATGATGAGATGACAGAGCGAGTCGACTCATCCATGGACTTGGAAGGGCAAGAACGTCAGTGGGCCTTGGCAATCAAAGCAGCGGTAGAAGCTTCCAGCGAACTCGACAACCTAACCGATATGGAGTATGGGCAACACGCCATCATCGCCCAAGGAAACCTCGCGAAGGCTTTGAAGCGAATCGAGGGGCTCCAATGGTGCCGCAAAGAATTCGGCATCGATAACACTGCGGACCAGGGCTATTACTTTCTGGAAGAGACGAGCAAGTTGCACATGGGTTCCCTCCTGACCATTGATACGTGTCCAATAACCGGAGAGGGTATCCTGGGGTGGGATCTAGGAGCCTGCTTCCCTCAAGTTGCCTTTGAGTGCCACCCAAACGATACCGTGATGGAGAGGAACTGGAAGATCCATGCGGGCGGGTGCTACTATGTCTTACACGCTGTCCAGCCCTCATTTGCAGCGATTCGGGAAGGAACTTTCTGTCTTGTAGATGGACACAACATGTCCTGGGGCAACATCTCCATGATGTACCAACGCAGACTCCACGATGAAGTATGGACGCACTATCCGTTTAAGGTCAAAAAGATCATGGAATACAACACAAACAGTATCGCTGCTGCCTTTTGGTCCCTCATGAAACCCTTGATACCCAAGTGCATCCGAAATGTTATGGAATTGGGTTGTCAGGTGGAATTTGTGGACTCCAAGGCAGCACCACGAACGCTGCGGGAGCTGTACCTACAGCCATCCGTGGAAGAATCCACATTCCACATGCTCAAGAGAGCACATCAACTTTTGACATTGCGTGCCCGAAACGAGGCGTCCTTTCGTCTCTAATAATACACACTGGATGTATGCCCGAATAGGACTTGTAGTCCGTGTCGGTAGGATTGGAAGTCTTAACCCCCTGGATCCCTTTACTACCGCAACTCAAGCTACTCCCACAAACCTAGCAGCAACCGCAGCAGCCTGTACGCCTACATGTATAACATTATGAAACATCGGTTTTGAACCGACAAGCGTGCGAAGAAGCAGTGCAGAGCTTAGGAAGCTTTCAAGGATAACCATATTTGTTTGTACCGGTACTAAGCATCCCCGTTCAGTGTAATCTCACTGGCACCATCAACGTCCTTTCAGGAGCACAGTATCGTCCGGATTCTAACCTTTGTGGCAATCCATCACCGAACCTCCAGCACCTCCAGGTACTAGTACTGTAAAACAGTCATCAACAGTGGTAATGAAAGGGCCGGAAATCACGATTTTATGAATCCAACCAAATTGATCAATTCGAAGCCTAAATATAAAACCGAAACCAAAGTATATAATCGAACCTAAATATAAAATCGAAACCAAATTACTATGGTAATTAACTAGTAAAGTCAAGCTGAAACCAAAATATAAGATCGAAACCAAAATATAAAACCGAAAGCTAAATATAAATCGAAACACAAGTATAAATCGGAATTTGGTGTAAATTGCCATTTCGGGCCCTTTCAATTGAAAAAAATCTTTTTGGAAAAAGAAAAATCAAATCACTCTTTTAAAAAAATCTTTTGAGAAGCGCCGCCACGTGGAAGGAAACCTCGCACGTTCCGAAATGTCTTGGCGTCTCAATTGGCTTGCAGAGCTCTTGCATTGGGGAGTTGGCTTATTTTTACTGGGTTCTTTTCGCGTGGCGGCATTTTGGCATCAAGCTTGACACCCACACATCATC